TACATAAGCAAAATTAGTTTATTTTAAACATCAAATTCTTATAATATAATTGACATGTAATTACATGTTATTAAGTTAATGTTAAATAAGTAAAATTTAATTATTTTAAATGTTAAATTCATATAATTGAGATTGGTTGAAATTAAAAATTTCACATCTATAATACTTGACATAATACCATAAAGAATTTACATGTAAATATCCCTTATGGCCTTTCTCGCGGGTACGTGGAAAAATTGTTAGGTATCAAGTAATTTGATTGATAAAATAGTATCACTCTTAAAAAAAAACTTATTATAGCTATTTAAATAAGAAAACCCTTACATAATTTATTTAATAAGTTTTAATATAGAAATGAAATATGAAAACTAAATATAATAATTTTGATATTTTAAAGATAGAGATAACATAATAAACGAGTTAAACTTAAAATTAAAACATAAATTAATGTTTATAAAAGTGTCATGTTTAATTTTTTTAGAATAATACTCATTATGTGTATATTTTAAGAAATATATTTAAATATAAACAGGCTAAATTACAATTTTGAATCTCCATTAATTTCTAACTTATCATTTTAGTTATTTTATAGTTTTTTTTTTCGTCATTTCCGTAAGGTCATTTTTTTGATAAATGTGTTTTAAAGATATATATATATATATATATATATATATATATATATATATATATATATATATATATATATATATATATAAAGCGTATAAGTTTTAAGTTTGTTTATTATTTGTTAAAAATATAATGTAGTTTTTTTTATTAAAAATAATTATTTGGTAACTATTTTGTAAAAAACATTTTTAAAAACTATAATTATTTTTTATTTTTTAAAAACTAAAAAATAAAATTGATAGAAAGTGTTTTTTTTTTATTAATAGATAACAATGTTTTCTCAAATAATTACATTGAATTACTATTTTTGTCATGATAAAAAAAATTCAAAGACATTTAAAAAAAAAATTACAACTTTCATCATCATTTCATTTTTTTTAATCTAAAATACTTAAAAAAATAGAGATATGAAACAGAATTTTTCTTTTAATTTATTTAAAAAAAATAAAATTTAGATTTATGAAATTGTTTCTAAAAACTAAAAAATCAAATCAAACAGACTCTTTAACATTTAAATTTCAATTTATTAAAAATCATCGTTTAAAAAAAAAAATCCTTTATTGTCTCTAAGACCTCCTCTAACTTTTTGAGTTTCTCAAACATCTTTTCCCTGAGTTCATTCTAATGGGTCCAGCACATAGAATACGATTTTCTATTGGTAAATTTTTTATATCAAATAAGTTTTTCTTTACTAATTTGTCTGTAATTTTTTACATGTGGGGAGTTTTGTCTTGCATGTGTGCTTTTGTAATTTTACGTATGATTTATTTTTTAAAGATGGTTTTCGGTTAGTTTAGAATTATAAGTATTTATTTTGTTTATTAAGATATTTAGTGAGTAAAATTAAATTTGTTTCGAGACTTAGATAATTTAATATTGTAGGGTTTTAAATTTGGAGAAAAACAAAGAAAGGTAAGGAAAATTATGTTTTTTTTTTCAATTTTTAATAGTACTTTAGGTTATACCTTTTGTGTGATAGAGTATTTTGATCATTGAGGTTGTTGTGGAGAAATGAAATTGAATTTGAATGTTTATTTGTCACTCCACTATAGATAAATTATGTTGATAAATGAATGTAATTAAAATAAAAAAATGTTATGTTTCTAAGTAATAATCATTGTATTGTATGATTGAATTGTAATAATTGAGTTGTAATAATTGAATTCCAATTCATTGAATTTTGCGAAGTATGCTTTATGCGTAATTTTCATTTTAACAATATGACTTATAAATTAAAAAACATGGTATCGAAATTATTTTTACCCAAGTAATACTATTTTCAGTTAAGCAAAATATTCGTAAATAAGAGATAATATTTTATCTTAATTTCATATCCAAATGATTTGTTTTTTTCCACTCAAATATTTTAATTAAAAACAATCTAAATTTTTTTATCAGACTCAATAATCTGAGTGATAGACCACGGTTTGAGCAACGATATATGCCTTGAGCGATTACCTATAACTTAAAAGATATAGAAATATTTTATATTTTTTTATTAAAAAATATAAATTAAAAAAATGAAATCACTTTTAATTTTTAAACAACGTATACATGTACTGATATTTGTGAAAAATAAAACTTTAACACATTTATCACAAAACTATAATATTTTTTAAATGAAAAATGAAACATAAATAAAATCTAAAATTGGGTCAATATTAGATTTTCTAATTTTCTTACTAACTTTCTCCTTGAATTCTCCATTAAAATGATGTCACAAAAGAGACATGCAAATAATTATAATAATTTATATGTCCTGTCTAGTTACCTCAAAACTAAATTAAGCAAATAAGATTAGCCCTTGACATAATCTTATCAAAATAATAATAAAAAAAATTATTTTTAATTTTTAGAATTCTCGTAATAAGAATAATATTTTAGGATAAAATTATAGATATGGATCAAAATTATTTAACAATTATCTTAAACGAAATGAATTAAATAATGCTTTATATTAAATTAATGGGACAATAGTGGTATATGTAAAAGTGTCAATATACTTTTTAATCCATAAAATAGTTTTACTGATTGTGAAACAAAATAAAAAAATTCAAATTGTGAATTAAACAAATTTGAATTGAAATGGCAAGTGAATTAACTCGAATAGTTAATAATATAATTTATCTTATATTAAAATATAAATTCCTAAAAAAATGCTTTAATAATTTACTTAATCAATCTATTTTGATGATTTTATGAAAATTGAAAAAAATATAAAAATAAATAAATCTATCTAATTACATTAATTCACAATAAAAATAGGTAAATTGCAAAATCTATAACTTAAAAATTAAATTAAATTAAATTAATCTATCTTTAACCCAAGTCTTATGAATCAAAATATCTAGAAAGACTAACTTTGACACCCTTAGACTAGAGTCAAAGCAGTGAAACTTGCGTGCCCTACCCTTTCGATACGCGACAAAACAACCATCATATACAATTATTATCGTTTATTATATTCTACAAATATTTTAAAATCGAATCTTAATGTTATTATTATATTTGTACAATTTTTTTTATTCACTACATCAATACCGCTTCAAAGTTTAATAGGTTAATTATAATTTTAAATCACTGTCATGTTTCTACAATATATATCACTTTCATTTTGTTTTTTTCTGATATCTATTTCTTTATTTTCATCCTTTGTTCTCTTTCTCTTCACTTTCAGATTATTATATATACTTTTCAACATTTTTTTAAATTTGTATATTTCTTGATGTTACGTTGTATAATTTATTATGATATATTTTCTCTTTTAATATTGATACAACATGCTATATGCTATACATATGACGAAGAAGATAAGAAGGAAAAAAATTAGATGTCAAATATTTATGATAACTTTCTTCAACAATTTTTTTTAGGAGTTGCTTTGGTGTGATGTGGATAACTGCATCACAAAATTCAGTAAGCTATAAATGATGAAAAAAATTTAGAGAAAAAAAAAACAATAAAACAATAAATATCACCGACAAAAGATAATGGAGAACCCTAAAAAAATAAACAATAGTACAAGCAACATGCTCAATTGGAAATAGGATATTCTTCAACAAAGTTACTGTGTAACAAATTGCAAGATCTAGCCAAATCTCTATCTTTAGTGACATTTTTTAGTTGAGGGGTGATGTTTATAATTTATATTTGTATTTATGATTTTGATTTCTAAATTTAATGATTATTAAATATATTTATTTATATATTTAGAATTATTTTATTTTTTAAAATTAATGATCAAGATCTTCAACTATATTTTTATTTTATTTTATCATTTTACATAATAAATGAATGAGGAGTGAGAATAATATATGGTGCAGTTGGAGGTAAATTATTGCTTCATCTATTGTCTTATACAAGTTGGGAAACAGTATTGGACCACTAGCAGAGGGAAGAGAAAAATCGAGCATGAGTGAACCTTTGAATAGGCAGTGAAATGGAAAGATGCGTACTTTTGAATTAAAAAACACGTTTTTAAAGCACTCTCTTGATAAAGTTTTTTTTTTTTTTTGTAACGACCAGAGTTTGTCAAGGTTCATAAGATCCATAAGGAATACGTTGGTCCTAACAAAAATTGAAGATAATGAATTCGATTTGGATTCGTGTATTAATGGACCTAATTTTGTTTGCACTAATTAACCTCTCCACCAATGAATGTTTGGCCACTATAATAAAAAAAACTTAAAAAGGCATAAAGTGAATAATGTATAAGATAACCATGTTGACTAATTTGAGAGAAAAAAAATGAATGGTTTTTTCAAAATCAATGACAGAGCCAATAAATGGAATGAATTTACTCCATTGAATCATTAAATGCACAGAAAGGGACATGAATATAGGTCTCTTACTAATTAACAAGTGGAATACCATATTTTTAGAGCCAATTCAAATACAATTTTGTTGTTAATTTTTGGTAGATTTTTTTAATGGAGTAAATAATTACTTCACAATTAGAATGAAAATGACATGAAGAGTTTATCAACTTTATTTGTACCACTATACACTCACAAATATTCTGAGGAAATAAAAATATACATATTTTATGATTGGTGATCAAATTCTTCTCACTCACCTACCCCAATTTTTTTTTTTTTGTTGCAAAACGAGATTATTTAATTTCTTTTAACATCATGTGTGAGAAAAATCTACCACCAAACCTTGAGGGAGTCTGAAGAAAAATCTCCAATTTGCGCGTACTCCTCCTTCTTTCTTGGTTTTATATATAGCCAATAAAAATGAATGCCCCTCTCAGTGTGGTTCAAAATTTTATAAAGACCCATTGACGCTTTTGTTGGATTGGAACAAACAGATCAAAGAAACAGGAAAAAAAAAAACAGAAAAAAGAAAAAAAAGGAAAAAAAAAGTAATCAATGGCATCCTCTGCTTGCACCAGAGCCATCTTCCCTTCATCCTTCACCGCTTCTTCTTCTTCTAATTCAGAATCAAAGTCAAAACTTTCTCATGTCTCGTTCATCAACACTACCTCCTCCATACCCATCTGCCGAAAACTCTCCCATGCTTGCTCCTCCAAACGCACCTTGGTGGTCAACAATGTGTTCAAAACAGTTAACCCGACAAAAACCTCTGGTGGGAGCTCCAAGTCCGAGGATGTTGCGTCTTTGGGTCAAAAACCGACCATCTTGGTCTCCGAGAAACTTGGAGAGGCGGGACTTAAGGTATTACGCGGTTTCGGGCACGTGGAATGCGCGTATGAGCTCTCGCAGGAGGAGCTCTGCTCCAAGATCTCGTGCTGCGACGCTTTAATTGTGAGAAGCGGAACCAAGGTGACGAGGGAAGTGTTTGAAGCTGGAAAAGGGAGGTTGAAGGTGGTGGGAAGAGCCGGTGTGGGCATTGACAACGTGGATCTGCAAGCTGCCACTGAATTTGGCTGCCTCGTCGTGAATGCTCCCACCGCCAACACTATTGCTGCTGCCGAGCACGGCATCGCTCTCCTCGCCGCCATGGCCCGCAACATTGCCCAGGCTGACGCCTCCACCAAAGCTGGTAAATTCCTTTTCTTTCTTATTTCCTCATCCATAATCAACCTTTATTCAAAGATCTCAAATTTACATTCTAAGAGGACATTATAATCTGTTTTTTTGTTGGGTCTATTGGATCATATGATATAAGCGTTCTCAGATCACTCATATATGTTTAATCTTGACCTGACCACAGTGTTTTGAAGATTTTATATTGATTAACTAATATATATATATATATATATATATATATATAAGTGAAATGTTCTCGGATCTCTATATCATCCTATACTGCACTATTATCATATATCATTTGGAGATTTTGTATTAACTGTTCGATCAAAATCATATATGGTTAAAGTTTGTCAAGTTAGATCTTCAATCACTTTTTATACAAAGCAAATTTAATTTAATTTATATTTTTATTAATTAGATTATGTATAAAAATTTCATGCAGTTTTTAAATTATGTCAAAATTAATTTTATCACTTAATTTTAACTAATTATATGATATTTAAAGTTGTATAAGTATTTATTTTAATAATACATTTATAAAAATTTGAATTATGTGAAATTTAATATATATAAGAAAGTATCATGAATATTAATGATTGGATTGATTAAATTTGTATTAAAATTATTAAAAAAGTAATATAACTAATATTTACCACTTGTTTAAATGTATCATGTTCTATATATAGAAAGTGGAAAATAACTCATCTTACGAACTAGTTTTGATTCTAAGTTTGATCTAAATGCAAATTTTGTTGTTTTGTGGAGTTTGGCTATTGAAATTTGACCGGGCTGCAATATTAACATGTTGAGACTTGAAAAGATTAGTGCGACATTGTATACATACATAACTACCTGAGTGGTCTATAGTTTATTTATGGAGAAAAAGATGTTTAGCTGAGCACTTTGATTTAAGCAATTTATTGACTCGTTTTTGGGGTACAAGTTTCCCATTAAGGCTTATGAATAACCATTGAGAGTGGTTTTGCTGACAAATTTGCAGGAAAATGGCAGAGAAGCAAGTATGTGGGAGTTTCTATGGTTGGAAAGACATTAGCGGTGATGGGTTTTGGAAAAGTTGGATCTGAAGTGGCGAGGCGTGCAAAAGGGTTGGGCATGCACGTGATTGCTCATGACCCCTATGCTCCGGCTGATAGGGCCCGTGCCATTGGTGTGGATCTTGTGTCCTTTGATCAGGCCATTGCCACTGCAGATTTCATCTCCCTCCACATGCCACTCACTCCAACCACTAACAAGGTCTTCAATGACGACACTTTTTCAAAGATGAAGAAGGGAGTTCGGATCGTCAACGTTGCTAGAGGAGGAGTCATTGATGAAGATGCATTAGTAAGAGCCCTTGACAGTGGAATCGTTGCTCAGGTAACCCCTTTTGCTGCAACTTCTTTTTCCCCTTTTAGTGGTTTGTCTTTTTTCCTTTTTCAATAATAAGCATAGGTACAAATTTATAGTGTTTCCTAATACAAATTTGCATTAAAGGATTATGCATATTTCTGGTAAGAAACTATAATTCTGATTAGAGATAACGACAAACTACGCCTAGTAACTTTATTATTCTAATGGATTACGCATACAAGTTTTGTCCTTTTTCAATTTCCAATGTGTCTCTCCAATATTTCCCACGAGTATCAGATAATGGTGCATCAAGTTACTAACTTTGTTACAATTGCATATGGAGCAGGCAGCTCTTGATGTCTTCACCGAGGAGCCTCCTTCCAAAGGTAGTAAGTTAGTGCAACACGAGAATGTCACTGTTACCCCTCATCTTGGAGCTAGCACCAAAGAGGCACAGGTTTGTTTTTCCTTCACCAGTTTTACTTTTCTACTATTCAATAAATCCCACATATATTCAGCTCTGTTTGTGTAGCATATATACATCATGTCCTAACCAATTATACTTCACCAGGAGGGTGTAGCTATTGAAATAGCAGAGGCTGTGCTAGGAGCGTTGAAAGGGGAGCTCTCAGCAACTGCTGTCAATGCTCCTATGGTTGCTCCTGAGGTAAGCATTGTGAATATTTCCTTCTTTTTATTCCTTTCCTACAGGGCAAGTACAATGAATCAAACAAACACATGGTTGCCTCTTGTGATGATCAGGTGCTGTCAGAATTGGCCCCATATGTGGTGCTAGCTGAGAAGCTGGGGAGGCTTGCTGTGCAGTTGGTATCTGGAGGAAGTGGGATAAAATCTGTGAAGGTGGTTTATCGATCAGCTAGAGGCCCGGATGACTTGGACACTAGACTTCTGCGAGCCATGGTTACAAAGGGCCTCATTGAACCAATTTCAAACACCATTGTGAACCTTGTGAATGCGGATTACATAGCAAAGCAGAAAGGGCTTCGCATAAGTGAGGAACGAGTGGTTGTTGATTCATCTCCTGAGCTGCCTGTTGATTCAATCCAGGTACAGATATCAAGTGTGGACTCCAAATTTGCTAGTGCTGTATCAGAGGGTGGTCACATCAGCATAGATGGAAAAGTGAAGTTTGGAGAACCCCACCTGACATGTGTGGGGTCTTTCGATGTGGATGTGAGCTTAGAAGGGAATCTAATCCTGTGCCGACAGGTGGATCAGCCTGGCATGATTGGTCGTGTTGGAAACATACTTGGTGAACAAAACGTGAATGTGAGCTTCATGAGCGTGGGAAGGACATCTCGTAGGAAGAAGGCAATCATGGCTATTGGTGTTGATGAGGAACCAAACAAGGAGGCTCTTGATAATATTGGAGCCGTGCCTGCCATTGAAGAGTTCGTATTCCTCAAGCTGTAGTAGTTGCTAATGATGATATATACATAAATAATGAGTATCTATGGATCTTAACCGGAAGTAAAATAGCTACTGTTGGTTAAAAAGAAATGTTTTTTTACAATTCTCTAGTTTGCTACTCTCGAGTGCACATGCACTTCACGATATAGATCTGCTCTTACATATTGGTGGACTAAACGTGGATGTAATATATTTGTTTTTGGATTTGGATTGGATGATTTTGAGAATAAAACTAGCTCTTTTCAGCTAGTGATGAGTAGTGTATGCACCTGAGTTTTGCTTCCTTTTTGTTTCCTTTGAGTTTTGCTATTGCAATAACATCGTTTCAACAACTTATGTGTTGTGTGTAGCTTTCAACATTTAGTCCATGAACACACTCACACCAGTTATGTTCTTCTTGCATATGTACTGCATAACTACTGCAATCATTTGAAAGGGAAAAAAGGCAATAGACTCTCACCAATAATGTAATGTACCAACTTGCTCAAGTTACAAGCAATAGGAGCAATCCATTTGTTTTCATCTGAAGATGCTTTAAGACCTATCATTATAAATAGAGGGATGGTATTTTGACAACCAGAGATCATGCAACCCTTCAAACAACTCACTTTTATTAATATAATAATTTATAAAATGATTGAATAAAAATAAAAAATAAAACAAAACTATTATTATAATATTAAAAAAAAGTTGTTTATAGGAGTTGTATGGAAGTATCATTTTCCTTATAAATATATATACAGTTCAGAAAAGGTATACTTCGGCCCCAGCTAAAATTTCATTTTTATTTTAAAAGGTATACCGTACAAAGAAAAGGCTGTATCAATTCACTTTCATTTTAAAATTTCAATGAATCACAGAAACTAAAAACTGGTTTTCATTGTAAGTGTTCTGATAATATCAAGGGTAATGTTAAATGGACAACACATATACGCCTAACTGCACAAGTACGCTTAATTTTCAATGATATTGGTTTGTGTGCATTTCTGCATACAACCGTTAGTTTGTCTTTTATCAAATTTCTTTTAGTGTTTTTGGAATTTTGTTGATACGAATATGATTATATGTCAACATGCAAACGGAAAAGACTTCTCAAAACGAAAGTTAGATTAGATTCTTTTCAAGGAGAAATCAAACACACAATTGTTTGTTTATAAGAGGATGATTTGAGAAGCTTACTTAAATATATTCCTTGAAACGAGTGGTTCTTGCATCACCATCTTCTGTCGTCAAAATTAAACGCAGACACTAATATAATATCAACTGATATTAGTTTATAGACATAACCAGACAAAACCATGTGGAAACCTAGGAACCTGACCCCTGTTTTTTTAATTAATTAATTTGAAATAATATAATATAATTTTATTTGTTTTCTAATAAATACTATATTATTTATTGTAAATATAAATGTTTTTTTATTATTTGTATATAAAATATAAGAATATTACGTCTTTTTTAATAGCTTTCTTTTATAATGTTATTATCATCATTATTTAAACATAACTATAGTGTGTAATGAAATGATTTTGTTAACATTTCTTTCGTGTTAGATTTAAGGAATACAAAATTATTAACATTTATTGATGGGTTAAATTTATAAATATTGTATACCTCATTGTCAACTGAAATTTGTTAACAAAATATTTAATTTTTGTGTCAATATTTTTTATATTCTCGTTGTTTTTATGGCATCGTCTTTGTTCTTCTGTTATTGTAAAGTTTCAATATATTCTCATGTTCTACATAAAAAAAAAAAAAAAAAAAAAAGATCTTAAAGGCTTACCAACTTTCCTTTTAAAGTTAGTTTCTATTAAGATACAACAATTTTGTTTCTTTCTATCTTAAAACATATTGCTCTTTCGATTACTATTGCCTTAAAACATAAAATAATAAGTAGCATTTATTTTTTGGATATGCCAAATCAATTTTAATTTTGGATATTTAAAAAAGGTTTAATATTTTCTATGAAAAAATATTCTGAATTGTATGTTTCCATTACTTAAATCATATAAATACTTTATGTAAAATTTAATTCTTATATATTTATTAAAATTTGATCCCATCTAGATCGTCCTGAAACATATAACTAGGATTTTAGTTTATTAAAGTTTATAATTGAAAATAAATAAATGTTATATATATATATATGTATAAATGAAATTATAAATTAAATCATAAATATTTTATGTTGTGATGTATTATTACTTCCTTTTAAAAATTCAAAAACATGCTAGATTTTAAGATTATATTTTAGAAAAAAGAGAGAGGAGAGAGATAAATTATATTTTAGAAAAAAGAGAGAGGAGAGAGATAAAAATAAATTAAACTGTTTGGTTGGTATACTACAAAATATACTTTTTACCTCGGTTCTCAGATGAACCGACGTTGAAAGTTGAATAATAAACACTACGTCGGTTTCTATATAAACCGACGTTAAAAGTCTTTTATTTTTATTTTTACTTATTGACACTTTCCACGTCGGTTCTCGTATGAACCGACGTGAAAAGTTTTTTTTTTTTCACCCAAAAACTCACTTAAATTTGAAAATTATCATTGGCGAGGATTCAAACTCGAGTACTTTAGAGTTGGAGGTTGATACTCCAACCACTAAGCTACTAGAATTTTCTCGATAATAACTTACAAATAAATTATATTTATATACAAATAAATATATATCCATGTAAATATATATTTATTTGTATATATTTTCTGGAAAGTATTTTTATTTTTATTTTCAACCAAAAATTCTCTTAAGTTAATGAATTGTCACTGATAGCATTTGAACCCAGTATTTTAGGGTTAAAAGTTAATATCCCAACCACTAAACTACTATAATTTTTTGATAATAACTTATAAATAAATTATATTGGTATTTTTCGATCGAGGGTGAAAGTGTGATTGACTCTTGCTTGAGTGAAAATATGTTAAAGCTCACGGAAATTCACTTACTCAAGTCTCGCTTGAGCGAAAATTGGTATTTTTCGCTTGAGAGAAAATAACGCGTTTCCCAAATTTATTTTATATCATTATATAAATAAAATTATAACGATTATATTCTGTCATTAAATTACAAACTCATATAAAGATACCTGCTCACAAATTTAGCATCAAATTTTGAAAACCCACTCGACACACACTTTCACTTTCGAGTATGCCCTCACATCCAACATATAAATATATAACTATATAAATATATCAAAATATATAAATATATTTGTATTTATATATTTATATATTTACACGGATATATATTTATTTGTATATAAATATAATTTATTTATAAGTTATTATCGAGAAAATTCTAGTAGTTTAGTGGTTGGAGTATCAGCCTCCAACTCTAAAGTACTTGGGTTTGAATCCTACCAATGACAATTCTTTTAAAAAATTAATAAACTTCTAAAAAATATAATATAAAGAGAGGGGAGACTTTTAGATAAATAAAAGGGTTGTAAATAAATAAAAATTATTAATTTAAAAAATCAACGACTCGACACATTTGTAGTAGTTAAAATCACTTATAAGTTTGTTAATATAAGTATTCATAGGAAAAGAAAATAAGAATAAAAATCATTTTTCAGTCATAAATTAACTTATGTATAAATCTAAAAAAATTGTATGAAAAACTTTTGTAAGTTAATTTATATTTTTTATCTTATGAAAAAAATATTTATTTCACATTTATTCTGTAAGTGTTTTAGAATAAGTTTAATAAAAACATAATTTTAGAATTTTGTTTATTATATATATATACATATAATAAGAATTAGAGACTTATTTTTTATTATTTGTTTTTTATAATTTTATAATTAAAATAAAATATTATTTGAAGTTATTGGATTTAAAATAGTAAAATAGAAGATAAGTTTATAGTTTTAACACATTATAACTAAATCTGAATACATGATAAGTAAAAGGTGAAAAAAATAAAATTAGATGATTTTTTTTATAATATCATTACACAAGTAAAAAAATAAAATAAAATAAAATCAATATATATATATATATATATATATATATATATATATATATATATATACCATATGTAAAATTAATATTATTTAAGTAGAGTTATTAGCCTCTCTATGTGTAACAAAAGCTATCCAAGTAAGGAGGGAGATAAATATGTCAGTAGTTTAGTAATATTGTTTATTATTTATTTAGTATGAATTGTGTATGATTTTAGTTTTCATTCTTTTTGCGGAGGATAAAATCATTGTTCATTTGACTTTCTTTTGGTTGCTAAGAACTTCATTGGTCCTATACAAACATTTTAAAATTCTAATAATTTAGTTTTTCAAAAATTTTAAAATTATTTCATGATAAAACCTGTAATTTTGACTAGAATAATGATAATAATTTGATATATTAGTTTAGGACTAAAAACATTTTTTTTTAAAGGGCAAAGGGATGTCCTCATATTGAGTGAACTGAAAATAACGTTTAGAACTAACAACGTTTTTAGAATCCCTTCCTTTCCAAATACCTTGGTATTTTTCATCTTGGTATGCTTTCATAATCATTCTTTGAAAAAGTGATTTTGGCTTTTGTGTAGCATTTGTATTCAATAAATGTCGATGAATGAACTCTTTGAGTGGTTTTTGACTCTTATTCAAAAGGTTGTTGACAATTATTATTTTTCAAAGAAATAAGTTGATTATTTTAATAATTAAATCATTCAAATTATATAATACTATATCCAATTAAAATTACATTATAATGCTTAATCTTATTTTTTCCAATTAATTGTTCTTATTTATTTTTGAATTAAAATATAATTTATTTTAAAACATTTGTAGATTAAAATTGTAATAAATGACGTGAAGGTTATCCCAGATTAAAATTTTAAATTCACCGCGTAGTTTTATCACTGTTTTTTTGTTACGGATTTTATAATAGGTGTTCATTAATTACGAATTATTCCAATCTTAGTAATTAACATACTAATTACTAAACCAATTTACATCAATCAATTGAATCTATTAGTGTAGTGTTTTTTCGAAACAATGGTTACAATTGAAATATATAATTTAAATAGTATCCAATAAAAAAAGAGATTAGTGTTTTTTACGGTGTTTAATAAATATAATTAACCATATTAAGAAATAGAAGAAGTTAATATTTTGTAAAAAAATAAAAATACATTGTAGATAAATCTATACGAAGGTTAATCGTTTTTTGGGTGAACCTGGTTCTTGGGTCGATTTAATGTTTGTAATACGAGGAAGAAATTTCGTTACAAAAATCGTTTCACGGTATGGTGTTCCGAATTAGCACTATTTAGTTAGAAGAGCGAGGAGGGTATAGAAATAGAACAGAAGGGAAAGAAGATCGGGCTTGTGTGTGTTGAGGGTTAGGGTTAGGATTAGGGTTTGATCGCACACAATGGCTGGCACCGGCATCCACCCATACCACCAGCAATGGCCTCCAGCGGCTGCTGCGCCTCCTCCGCCGCCTCCTTCCGCCGCCGCCGCTCCTCCTCACGCCGGAGATGAGGTACGAACGATATTCATAACCGGACTTCCCGAAGACGTGAAAGAGAGGGAACTTCAGAATCTGCTGAGATGGTTACCCGGCTTCGAAGCTTCTCAATTGAATTTCAAAGCGGAAAAGCCAATGGGTTTTGCTCTGTTCTCCGCTCCGCACCAAGCGCTCGCCGCCAAAGACATTCTCCAGGATATGCTCTTCGATCCCGACACCAAGTCCGTCCTCCACACTGAGATGGCCAAGAAGAATCTCTTCGTCAAAAGGGGTGAGCTTATTGTAGCGTCTATTCAAGTTAATGCTTATTATTTTCAAACTGTAGTTGTAGCTAAACCTGATGCCTTTGTTTGCATTCGTTAACTCTAAATTGTCAAATTTGTCTTGTTAGTTACCCCCCTTTCCTGATCGAATGCACAATATTCATTGTTTCTTTGTAGGAATTGGAGCTGATGCGGGTGCTTTTGATCAAAGTAAACGGTTAAGAACAGCTGGGGATTATACACATACTGCTTATACATCTCCATCTCCTTTTCATCCTCCACCGCCACCTGTTTGGGGGCCACATGGGTAAGCACCACCTATATATTTGAAATCCCCTCCAAAAAAAATGAAGAAATTTCGATCACAATATAATAAATTTACTTTGCAATTCATTGATTTTACTTATTTCAGTGTGTTTGCTTTTAGTTTATGGCTGTTTTTTTTAATGGTCCAGATACATGGCTCCGCCTCCTCCTCCTCCATATGATCCATATGCGGGCTATCCCGTTGCACCTGTGCCAATGCCTACTCCTGCTCCCATATCAGCACCAAGCAGTTATGTTCCAGTTCAGGTGAGAGGGGCTGAAAGTTGGAATAGTGCTTTAATGTATGTTTGGCACTCTGTCAGGAAATCTTTATATGCGCGTCTATCTGTTATAGCTTCTGCTTCAAAAGCTAACTTGATTTGAATTTATTATCTGCAAACGTGTGGCTAATCAATGATCATATCATCACTCCATGTCATGTATTGTTTAGATCATATTTTAAAAACATTTAATTTCACTTGATTTCCCCGCTAATGATCACTCCTTGTCTTGCAATGTTTAGCTCATATTTTAAAAGGGAACATGGGTTTAGTGCATTTATTTTCACTTGATTTCCCCATCAATGATTACATCATCACCTTGTCTTGTAAAGTTTAGCGCATATTTTAAAGGGGGAAGAGAGTCTGTAAATCGTGTTACCCATTCTCAATGATGCCTGCTTATTGAAAATCTCTTTTGGGTCTCATAGGACCTGATCTCTGTTCTTGATAATTTATTTCACAATATTAATTTTAACAAATGGTGAATTATCACACAGTACTGTGTTCATGACATGATGAACAGACATTTCTGGTATTATATTTCAAAGTGAGTGTAGATGGGGAGGCACTTTCCTTTGAGTTTGTTGGATACATTGTTGAATGCTGACCTAACTGTTATCTGTGTACAAATTTTGGAGATTACTATCACTATTTCATCTATGATTGTTATTGACAAGGAATCAAGATTAAATTCTTTGATGTCATTAAAGAGTTATTTTCTGTATGGATGCTTGAGTCTGTTATTTTACAATGTCATTGGCAAAAGCGTTAAAGAGTAATTTTGGTCTACAAGTCTCATTTACTACAAGAAACTACTTTGAATAAATGCAGTATTAGTTCCAAACCATTTATTTTTAAAATGATTGAGTGGTTTCAGGTTTTGCTTGGCTTTATTTGCTAATATAGCTCTGATGCACGGATATGATACCCGGATTGAAATTGGATATGATATGCTTATCGGATGTGGCGTTGCGGTTATTACAAAAATAACAATATACTATATGCAAGATACATATTTAAAAATATATAAAAATTCATAAAACATAATATGTAACTACAATATTGCAAATCCAAATTAAAAACTCATTTTTTAGACATTGCCAAAATAAAACAAATTATAAATCATTGTCATCATAAATTACTTTCTATTATTTACATATAGGAATAACACTGTCAATCCAATGTTATCGATTTTGGATATCAGAAAATATTTGCAACCCAAAGTCTATTGTATAAGTATATCGGAAGTTATAACAGTTTATGGGGGAAGGATTGCGGACAGAAAAATACAATATATACATATAGATAAATGAAAAATGCAGAAATATATGTATACTGAAAAATATTGAAAACAATATACAATTAATAATAATTAAAAGTTTAAATAATTCAATTAAAAATAACATCAAAGCAAAACACAACCAGGTTGAACTGCTTGCTTAGTTGCCATTGGGATAGCGGAACATACATATTCATGGGTTTAGTTTTATAAGAAAAAGTATTGACTAGAAAAAAATGGAAAAAAAAGGGAGGGGATACTAAGAGAAGAACCCACCAGGTAATAGAAAATGAATAATGAGAAACTAGCAAGATGGACTAGGGTAGTGCATTGGGAGAAGGGGGACAAGTGGTGTCATCTGTAGTGGGTTGATAGTTACTGAAAACACAGCAGGCGGTGGAGGAACAGTTTGGAAGCAAGTGGGAGAGTCACCGGTGGCTGACTGTAGTGACTATGTAGCTGAACTGGGTTGCCTTTTTAGGTTACGACTTATGTAGGTTAGCTTAGTTTTTTATTTTGGGTTGGGTTTGGGTCGGATTGTTAGACGCAACCTTTTTTTTAATCTATTGGGTTGGTGGGTTAGAGTAGCCATGTTTGTTTTAAAAGAAGTTAGGGTTTCTTGGTTGGGTTAAACACCCACATTAGTTTTAAAACAATTAGGGTTTCTTTTGGCCTTGATTTGGGTCAGGTTGCCCCAAGTTCTTTACTTTCTTTCTAAGGGTTGTGATGTGGGACTCGGGTGTGATTTTCGCGCACTACCGATTAGCAACACCATTCCATGACATCTGAAGTGCCACGATGGAAAACTTGCATCGCCATTGTCATGCTATGGCAATGCGTGAAAAATTCTGCAACCGACTTCTTCCATGATCTTGTTTTGATAACACTATCAATCTCATTCACTTTTAAAGTAATTCATAAAGAGGACAAATTCTATCTTTGGTTTATGAAGACCAAATGTTTCTAAATATTACAAATACTGATATTTTTCTGTGTTGTATTATTGGATAAAAATGCAATAAAAAAATGTGGACACCTCACTAACATGTATATGTGAAGTATCTAAAAGTATTGGTCTCAAGTACGTGCAACAACTAAAAGAAGTATTGGTGTTGCGTAAGATTGGATACTTTATTGATACACATCATTTTAAAGTATTGGTCACAGATACAGATACATGAAACAAATTGAAGTATTGGTGTTTCATATATCTCAATTATAAATTCTCTAGGAATGATTGTACACTAATTACTCATGTCAGTGAGAGAAAACAAAGGATTTTCTCAATTGTACATAATAATATAATGTCTTGAGTCATCTTATGGCTGGCTTTTTACATGAGTTCTTATCTTGCTTAATTTGTTTGCTTTGCTAAGTTATCTGATGTTTTTGGTGTTTGAATTATTAAAACTCTACTTTATTTAATTTAGACTTGGTTATACATGATAAATAACTAGTGTGTTACTATCTCTAACTTTATTATTTGGTATAGAGCACAAAAGATAACCCTCCTTGCAACACCCTGTTTATACTTGGTTATACATGATAAATAACTAGTGTGTTACTATCTCTAACTTTATTATTTGGTATAGAACACAAAAGATAACCCTCCTTGCAACACCCTGTTTATTGGGAACTTGGGGGAGAACATAAATGAGGAGGAAGTAAGAGGCCTTTTCAGTGTGTAAGTACATCTTACCCCTTGACCTCTGGTTCTTCTGTTCAGTTTACATGGTATTTTCTATCTCGAAAGTATGGAAACAATCTTCTGAACAACTTTGTGTTGCAGACAACCTGGTTTTAAGCAAATGAAGATTTTAAGACAGGAGAGGCACACAGTTTGCTTCATTGAGTTTGAAGTCAGTGATCTTTTGATAAACCTTTTTCCAACTTTTTATTTGTTGGATACAAGTGCTATGCTTCTGGTAGATTTTCCTTAGTTTGATTTTCAATGACATATTGCAGGATGTGAATAGTGCTACCAATGTGCACCATAATCTGCAGGGTGCTGTTATCCCAAGTTCTGGTTCCGTAGGCATGCGGATACAATATCCTTTTTCATATTGTCAGGCACCATGATATTTTATCTGATTTCCCCCCCTCACCTGTTCACTTAAAAGAATTTGTTTTTGTTTTCTTTAATGTACCTGTGCATCAACGATACTAGAACCATGGGTTTCTTTCAATTCAACTATTTTTCTTAAAGGGCTTAATTGTTTTGCAGTAAGATCTATAACATGAATACAGCTGCAAGTGATAGTGCTTCTTAGGTCAAAACCATATAGTAAAACTCATTATTGGGTTTTCATATTTTTAACTGTTGATATTTCCTATCATCCATTATCCCCCATTTTGCATTCAAAAGCTCTCATCCTTTGCATTCAATTTGGTACAAAATTGGTTGTGATTTTTACATCCTGTGGTTATGTGCATGGAATTTTTTTGGTGTTTTTCTTGACTTCTTAGTAGATATTCAAAAAATCCCTTTGGAAAAAGGAAAGATAATGTTCCTATTGCTGTTCCTACTGCTAATGGAGCTCCGCCAACAATGACTTATCAGTAGCTTGAAGGGGATGTACTCTGTTCTTTATGCTCCGACAAATATTACTACATAATAGGATGCATCTTGCAGCTGTCACATGCATCCATTGATCATCAAGTCATCGCCATTAGCATCCTTGCTCATGTGAATGAATGCACAGTGGCATCATATACATACATTTGGCTATGTTATACTAATCAGACATGCATTTCTTGGCAACATGTGTTGGTTCCCAGATTACTTTCATAGGCGTTTAGATGATATTATCACCTGTAGAATTGATGCATGAGTCTAAATTTTGTTTAAATTGTGTGCTTTATGGTCATATATACTTTCTGTGTACATTGGCATTAGGAATGCTTATTCAAACAGGCTTTGGCTACTATTTTCTAACTTTAGGTTCATCTTGTGCTTATTTGACATGACATTTTACGGTGATACTTTGATTTCATATGACGACCTGGCTAGGGTCTGGAGAAATAAGGATGTCATATCAATGGTCATACTGCCCTTTCAACTATCATATTACACCATTGTCATTACACCATATTTAATATTTTTCCCCATTGAATCCGTCATTCATGACTCCATTTGATCAGAGCATTGATGTTGATGCTTTGAAATTCAAGCTATTGAGACCTATTTAAAAGAAATCCGGGGAGTTATATGTTGTCTGATTTATACAGGATTTCAAAACGAGAAAGCATCCTTTCATAATGGGAGATCCATTACTGCTGCTGTCATATCATTGCAGGTAATCTTTGTTTGCTTGGGTGAACTACCATCAAATTAGGTTGGAACTTCGGTCGGATATCAAGTGAAGCCGCCTTTGAATTTATACTTATTAAACAGCTGACTGACTTATAGTCACCTACTTGCTAATGCTGTGCTAGTTTTTCAAAATCTACTATTGTAGCGAAACTTTAATTTGTGTAACAGAAGAAACTGATAGGTCAAGAATAGATTCCAAGGAAAATAGAGTAATGGTTGTAGAATCCTCATCCTGCTACAAGTTGCAAGCTCCTACACAGTTCGTAATTATGAACAGTGGTCCAAGTTTTGCCATGAAAATTGGAACTTTTTTGTTGGTTGTTGAGTATCATAGTAGAGACATCATTTGTTGTACCAATTTCAATTCTACCCAACAACGATCCAGCAAAGTATTGGATTCTTGTGGTAGAACTAAGGCTAAAAAATTGACGGTTTTTGCCGCCGTCCACGTTTGCAGTATCTTCCAGAGGAATGGAAGGACATCTTTAGCAGCTGCTTTAACAAATGTTTGATAATGCATGTCATTCTAACGGACTGTGCATTAACAAAATTAAATTCAATTCCAAAGATTAATTTCACGGGGACACTGAAACTCTCGATTGCATATCGTAATGATTCCATCGATTGATTAATTCTTATTTTTTACAATTTTAAGAAAATAATCGTCTGGGATTGATCTTTATTTGAATTGTAATAAGTTGAAGTCATCCTTGATTGACGTCTTGGCTGCACTTTCAAAATCGTAATAATTATAGAAATAAATTTGTTGTTATAATTCAAAACTAAATTAACAATGTATAATTTTATTTTATTAAGTTAGAAGCTAAGTTAACCAGAAAAAAAGTTAGTTAATCTGAAATAAAAGCTACGCAAAAAATTCAGTAAGTACACTTATTTGAAAAGAATAATGTTTCATAATACGAACCAAATAATGAAGTCAACATTTACAAACCGAAGGGCAAAAATATTGGCAAACATTTGACTCTGAAAAACTTAATCTACAGAAATGCAGGATTATTCCCCCCAATGAATTCAGTTAAGATAAAAATAATGGGGAAACCAATTGCTGCGTAGGGCGAGATAGATCTCCATAGAGTACGAAAATCTGGTAGCAATTTCATGAGAGATTTAATTTACAAGGATGAAAGTATGCCTTACGAACTGTTATGCGATTTGACAGATGAAATTGACTGAGCTGAGACGGATGCAGTAGGGCTGTTAAGCTCCCTCTCCCCATTTATTTCTTTTGGTTTTCCACTTAGTCTCTCCATTGCATCTTGACATATGTCGTTAAACCATTCGTCTTCTGGCAGTTCTCTGGCAACACAATATACATTACATAATAAATTCCTTTAATGTTGAACAGAAAAACTTTTGCAAAAACAAAGATATTTTCCATATTGATAATATGATACAATGTCGATGATGACAGTGGTAACCTACCCATATGGATCCATCCCTGTAGCAGAAAATGCTGCCATCGCTTTTGTTATAATCTCATTGACAATTCGTTGCAAATTCCTTGACAAGTACCGACCGTGCGAAGCAAAACATACGACAAACTTCATATCCAAATAGAACTGCACAACGTAAGAAAAAAAAAATTGTGACCATAATTAACTTTTCTGTTCACGAGGTTCAACCACGTAAATTTACATCTACTGATTTCCCTTGTCGGCAAATCATTATAACACTGTTAAGGAAACTTCCAGAGCTTCTAAGAACAATTCATTCAGCAATTTTTTTTTTTAATTTTTAAATAATACAGTAGAGAACATAGAAAATTTTCTTGAGGCAGCGGAACAAATTCACTTTTCTATGTAAGTATATGTGCTCCTCCAACAATAATGAGTATGATCAGAATCAAAGTGGTTAGCTAATTGATATTAAATTACTGGCATAAAGGAACAATTAATGAATAATTACTTAGGCTAATGTAGTTTATTTTCATGCCTTCCAATTTGGTTTTGATTATTTCTACTTACTTTCAATTAACTATTTTAGAATTACTCAAATAATTTAGAAAGTGTATATTATAAACTAAATTACAATTCGGTCACCTTTAATTTTTATCTGCAATTTTGGTTCCCCTCCACCATTTTGGTTTTCCTATCAGAAAATTAGCAATTTTGGTCCAACCCTCAATTTTGCTCACTTATGTTTATCTCTTTTATTTTTAATTTTTAATACTGAAATTATTTTTTATGGTTCTTTGAATGAATCTTTGGTTTAAGGTTCAACTGGACCAAAATAAAAGAAATAAAATGTATATTGAGGATTAGACTAAAATTGCAGACTTACTAATATAGGAGATCAAAATTGCAAAAGTAAAAAATAAAAAAAGGAGTACCAAAATTGTGGATCAGGAATTTAATAGACCAAAATTGCAATTTATATTATTTAAAGTTTTTTTAAGAACTGTTAGAACAAAAGGCCAGACTTTGACCTCTATTACCCCAAACAAAATTCTCCTATTTAGATTAGCATTTAAAGGTTCTTGTCTGTTTTGGCATATGGGTTTCTAACAGTTACTTCAGAAACCAAAACTAAAAGGTTATACGATATAATAAACAAGTTCCAATATCATACCTGTTGAAGACCAAGGGGACCTAAAGGCCTGGGACCTTCCTCGATATCATCCCAAAAGCTCTGGTCTTCTGAAAGCCACAACATAACAGTTTCTGTAAGTCTCATCAAGAGGAGCGTAGCAAATCTTTCCCTCCCAACAAACATATCTGCTGCTATATTGGCCATTCGGTTTAGTTTTACAAAAAGCTCCTGAACAATAAAATAATAGCCTCATCAGACACATGAATAATATTTGTAGGATAACAGTGAAGTTAGAAGAAATTTTGTAATGCTTTTAGCACAAGACAAAGATAATTCATATTGCAAAAGAAATTTTTTTTTTGGGAAGTCCATGTGCCATGCAAATTATAAAGAATAACGGTTCTGTAACCAAATATCCAATGTAGAACATGGTAATAGAAGATATATTCGTTATAGAAATTCAAAGGTGGAAATTAATAAGGACCCTGCTTGAAAATCAAATTCACATACAGGCAATAAATAGGAAGATAATATCAAACTGTACAATATAGAAGATATTAATGTCTGCCTGGGAAAATGGGAGGAGCTTCCGTGTTAAAATGCTCTCAATTTACACACACACACACATATATATATATATACAATCACTGTAGACTTTAATTTATATTCAATGTTTAAATGCTTTCACTTTACATATATACAATCACTGCAGACCTTAATTTATATTCATTGTTTAAATGCTCTCACTTTACACACAAACATATGATTTTTTTCATCAACGAATTTTATTTGCTCTACCCTCTTAAGTGAAATGCTCAGATTAGAGGATCCAGATTCAAAGCATAAGATGATGTGAAACTACAGTGAAATCCTATTGGATGCTTGACTCAAAAAGCTTACACTAATATTGTGTGTGAGAGGTAACTAGCTTGGTCAAAATCAATCTCTAAAATATAGAAGATAGAGATAGATAAGCTGATAGTACCTAAAGCTTGACCACAATGTATATATATATATATATATATATATATATATATAATTCTTCCGTGATTAAAAAGTTGATGCGTGTGTAAGAAATGGCACAATTTTTATTCCCTTCTAGTGACAGGGAGACATTTAACCACAAGAATGAATATATTAGGACTAACAACTTCGTACTCAGCCAACTGATTATGGTTAATACTTAATAGAAACAGATACTTCAAGACAAATATTTCGTTAAGTACCATGATTAAGTAGCTATTTCAGAATACATACGAAAATTTCAAATAAAGTAAACCAATACTTGGAAACACATTGAATATATAATCATGAGCCTATAAAAGAATCAGATTGGATGTTGCAGGCAATAATCCACACCCTCGCTCCGCAGGTTTTTGAGAAGAGAGATTACAAACACATGCAGAGCACTACGGGCAATGGAAAGAAAATTTCAAAGAGAAACTTAGTACTACACTCTTATGAACACATTACTATCGGCTGAAACTCAATGAAAATCATAAAATTTTGTAGGTCCTATTTATACTCATTTAATAGGTTTCAATCTTGATTTCGTATTTTTTAATGAATTTCAACAATAACAGTGTTATTTAGCACTCCTCAATTTCAAATTCACTCTTCATAACAATATAAGCAGATGTGAAAATCTGTAGAAAATGTTTACTAAACAAATAAGATTTCCAAAATACCTGGAAAATCAAAGATGGAAACCATTCAACATCTTCAGCATTTCCATCCAAATTTATATACATGTCAGCAGTAAGATGACTATCACCTTCCTCGGTAAAAATTAGGTCCAATGCATGTTGACGACAGAATGTATCTTTCAATCTGTCAACTGAACCAACAAGTCTTCTCCTCCATTCTCTTTGTTCAGGATGACGATTTTGTCTTTCTGAGGTTCTTCTTCGATTATCATCCTTATAGGCAGCTTGATTTATGGGGGAAAGCTTCATAGCTGCACGTGGAAGTAGTTCATCAGCTAGTAATGAGGCATTTGCTAGCAATGCAATTTGCTGGGCCTCAGTCTCAGCCATGCGCACAATTTTGTTTCCAGAATCTTCATAGCTTGCTTCTTCCTCCATTGATCCAGGTAATGCTTTTATGAGCATGTTCACATAGGAGTTAAATACTTGAAACAATCCCTCCAGTGCTTGGCCTCCCAACTGCATGCTAAGCAGTGGTCCTACATCCTCAAAGAAGTCCTGTATAAACATACAGAACACCCAGCATGAAGTGAATTAACGATATAAATCCATTAAAACCAAACAGGAAGCATATAAGTAACTACATAGGATAGAGCTGAACAAGATTAAAATATGCAGATGAGTATGTGTACCATAGGAAGGCAGTTATTTGTTCAGTAAGAACACAGGAAACATGGAAAATATTCAACAGCACAGGACAAAGAAAATTGTAAGTATATTCACTTAAAGAATCAAATAAAAAATATTTTTACTCTTAGTTTTAGAACATCTACGCACTGTCCTAACCAATGCAATCTCTGTTCAGTACTTCAGTGTAACAAGCCAAAACTGAAATTCTCACCTGGACCATCAAATTGAAACGATGGGCACTGCTTGTAAGTTTATGTTGAAATGCGGTTGTATTACTAATGGATATACTTGAAGGCCTACTACTCTGACGATTAGCTGTGGGAGGGTATGTCAGTACCCAATCATCAGCCGCAGCCAAAGCAGCAGTACTCTCTTGAATTCGTTTCAAATTAGCATCTAGTGCTTGCTCAACACTAGGCCTAAAAAGTTTCAACAGAACAGGACAAAGAGCCAGGCCACGAGCTTCCAACAATGAACAGTGACCCAATGCTATTTGAACACACTCTGCAGCAGCTCTTAAACCTCCTGCAGCTGCTGATGAAGCTAACGCATGCCTTTTCACCAGAAGAGCAAATGCCTCCGTTTGCTTTGTAGCCCACATCACAAGTTCTGAAGTATAAGCTGGCTCCTCACCAAATATAGCCAAAGAATCACTAGCAGCTTGTGCAACTGCAGAGAATACCAGTTGAGCAAGAGCAGCAGTATATGCTCCACCATATGAGGTGCTTGAGGGTCGAAGGCTTTGCATGTTATACTGATACCGTTGCTGATGGGCATTAAGTAGCAAGCTGTGGGCATGGGGACCATCTCCAAGTTTTTTAAGGGCGGAAACTGATGCACGAAGCTCCGCACCTCGTGTAGAGGGCTGACAAGCAGCTTCAGTCAGCTGATCAGCTAACTTTTGTCTGCGTTCAGCAATGGAATTCTGTAGAGACAATAGTACTGATGGGTTGATAGATTTCATCTCTTTAGCCTCAGAGACTACATGTTCTCCTTCATCAAGAGCAGCTAAAGCCTCTTCCACTCGCCTTTCAGCCAAGAGAACATCCAAGAGATCAGGAAACTCTACCAACCATTTGTCTAGGTCTGATGTCTCCTTATCTTCAGAATCTGATATAGCATTTACAGAAGAATCATCAGAATTTGAAATTGATAGTGAATCGATGTGAACTCCTTCAGCCAAACCATGTATCAAGCCAGCTTGTGTGGAGAGCAGGTTTCTAATAGATGAAAGCTCCCCCTCCAAATCTGATATCTCCTTAGATGTTCTGTAACATTAATATTGCTAAGATTCAAAATATAACCCACAATTTATCAGCTTACTAACATTTGCTAAAACACATTATAGCAGCTATATTTTTAGGTCCAAATATAGAAGGGTAAATTACATAAAAACAGAAGAGTAAACAACTCCAATCTCCCTTCTAGTTTTCATTTCTTCAAAGCTCCCTCTAGTTCTAAACCCACAATCCTTATTTTGTATAAAATGATATCCCTATTAAAGATTCCATCTCATTTTACAAACCTGCTCTATTTGTTAAACATTACACAAGACGCCTTCTTATTTTATAAATACATTACGATAAAATTCCTCAATTTATATTAAAAATTTGAAAGTATTAGATCCTTAAATGACAAGTTTTACAATATTATTAGAGTAACACAAAAAAAAACAGTAAAATAAATTATCATTTCATTCTCAAAATAAAATTATTTTAATTTTTTGTAACAGATTTAGTGAAAGCTTCTCATCACATGAAGTATTATTAGGATACAGTTAAACTATTTATTTAAAATTGTTTTTTAAGAATTGAATAATAAAAAAATGTTTTATTGATTTCATTACTAATAATTCACATGACTACGTTTTCATTGAATTGTTTGTAGCAATAATTTTAATAATTCAAATACTTAAGTTTTTATTGAATTGTTTGTAGCTATAATTTTGAAATAATCCTTGTCATTGATAACATTGTTACTAATAATATTTTTTCTTTATTTATTTCCTTTAATCATTTTAACATTTCGTTATTGTATATGTATTTAATTGAAATGTATATAAAATAGAAGGGAGTTTGTGTTATGTCTAAGAAATAATAGACTGGAAGGTGGATTTTGTGTAATTGGTCCAAAACTGTAATAATAATAATATTTATCTCAATTTAATTTAAATAAAATCTAGCATATTTATAAAATAGGAGGGGGTTTGGGGAAGTTTTATTTTATGAATATAAGTGGTTGTGTATGAAATGTAAAATAGATGGGAAGTTGGAGTAAATCAGCCAAAAAGAATAAGGTAAATGAACAACTCTCCCCTCCAACCCCCACACCCAAACATGTAGGGAGATACTTCTGATAAACAAAATAAGAATGACTGATGTCAGATGCTAAACACTAAAAATAAGAAACTTCTGATATAATATTTATTGGATACCATATAAGTATACAACTAATAATATTAGGACATTTTAGAATTCTTAGAGCAACATAAGATATACATAGATTGCACACAAACCACCGAATACGAGAACATTCAAAACCAAACCAATTAAATTGGTAAGTGGTCCGGCCAGACTTCCAAAACCTGAGAACAAGAACCAGCCTCAAAACCATTCAAACAATGCAAAGTGGCTGTGATTTGACTGGCTGAACTGGTTGAAAGATCATTTTTATTCCTCTACCACTCAAAATGTTCCAGTTACAAGGGAAAGAAAGGTAGAAATGGGCTGTGGTAGAGGACTATTTGTTAAACACTAGCGTGTTGGTGTTTTTTGGTAAAGTAATTTTGTTTATATAGATTATCCTGGTTTGTATGCATGCCCTAAGCAAATCCCAATATATCAGAAGGAAATTTCAAATACAGAATGTTTAAATGGCCCCAATGAGTTTAGGGGCTGAAGCCACAAGCTTCACATGTGAGAGGATTTGAGCAAAAATGAAGGGGAATGAATACTGTGTGACTTTACCACTGCATGAGATCTTAACCCTTCAATAAATTTATTAATATACCATATATCTTAATATAAATTTGAGGTTGAAAAGAATAAACACCGAGAACATGATATTGATCATGTATAGGTTTTTTCCCATTGAAGAGTTCCTATTAAGAAGTGGTTCTCCTACACCCTTGGTTTGGATGAGGAAAGAGAACATGAAAGAGAACATTGTGATATGAAGAGAAAACTTAGAAAGGAATTTTTGTTTCATATTCTATTTTAACTACCTCCCCCTTACCCGAAGAGTCCCAAACAATAGAATTTTTCAAATTTCTCCTTTTACTTTTTATTTTGTTTCTCGCCATCCATTAGCTCAATGTGGAAACAATTGTTTGTGTTGTAAATATTGGACCAGTTTGTTTGTGCTCATTTGAAACAAAGTTGCTTTTCTAAATAAGTAGATTCATGCTTTTTTAATGTGTTTATCTAATATGTTTGTATTAAAATAAAAAAAATTTCTTCTTTTCTTTAAGAAGAAAATCCTATATGCTTCTTAAATCAGTTATTTTTCAAAAAATTACTTATTTCAGAAACATTTATTTTAAGTTTAAACAAACCAACCCTTATAAAAGAAGGCATTTCAAGGAACAGCTGCATCCAACAATTACAGTGCCTGAAAGGCCCACCTCTGTCTGTCTCTTCCCATCCACGTTAATTTATTATATTATCATCAATCAAATTAGATTAAATTCAGTTTCTACACTAACACTAATGTGCATTAGTACTTAATATATGTATAATACTATTGTTTACATGACTAACAGAATTTCAGCTTGATTTCAAAACTTGAATCTCTCTTTATTGATACAAACTGACACAACTAACCGTATAAAGGCCGCATAGTTAGCATAGACACTTCGACGCATCTCCTCAGCGGATGCTTTCTTCAAGTCCACCAAATATGTGCACAATTGCTTAATTTCCTGAAGAACAATTGTAACATTGTTTAGAGCATGTTTCGAACAGCTGAAATCTCAGCTGTATGTTTTAGAAAAAGTTGTTTGTAAAATAAGCTGTGTTTGGGAAAATAACTTAAACTTACAAAAAAAAAGTTATTTTTTATTTTAATTTCAAAATTTGAAACTTATGATTATTTCTCAACAGTTCTATTTTTCCAGCTTCACACACACTCTTTTTTTTTTATGTAAAAACTGATATTTTGCATCCAAATGAACTTAATTATCTTCAAATCTCATTTTAACAAAGTTATTATCCAATCAAAAAACCTAATTCTTATTATAATTGATTATACACATTATTAGAGATATAATTTGATTATATTAGAGATATGATTTGATTATAGTAAATAGGGTGATATGATATGATTTGATAGGGAAATGTCTCACCAAATATTTACCATTATTAGATATAATTGATTATTAAAATAATCGAATTTTTGCAGTTGTCCCAAACATACAGTTAATGTGAAGATCAAGGAAAAATTTCTCTACCTGGTGTGAACTTAGATGTGTATCCAATAACAGGTTTCACCACTACATATGACTAAAGCCCTGTTTGGATAAAATTTTCCTTAAATCTTTATAGGAGAAGAAAATAAAGAAAGAAAAAGAAATAAGTTTATCCACCTGCTTAAATTCGCTTATGCACAAACCACTAGTAGAAGATCTCTTGTATTAGCTTCTCCAAAAGACAGAAGTTAATTTTAGCTTATGGAGAAGTTTGTCCAACTAGACTCTAATTGAAATAAAATTATGCCTAAGTGGTTACTACTACATGTTGACATATGATCAGCACATCAAAGCTATTTCACAACTACACGAGTCTTAGATAGATCTTGAAGGAGGAGTGTATCTAACAGCCATATTGAGCATAGAGAAGGTAGAAAAGAAACTACAAATTTTCCATTTTCAGCCAGTAAAATGAGTCAATTGTAAATAAGAAAAATGATCTCAAACTGTAATTTTTATGAATAACAGGATTCACAAAGGATATCACATGTTGCCAAGGTGTGCGATATGATATACTCCAATAAAAAATAAAGCTTATCCTCTCTTGACTTCCTAGCTTTTAGGAGTGGAATTTCCTCTGGATTAAAAATGCAACTTTAATGCGATTATCAAGAGAAAATTAAAAGAAATGAAGTATGCAAGGATGAACTTCATACGTCTAAGTCTAACCAGCTGAATTATCTTCATAGGCCTCAACACTAGCATCATTTAGGTATAAATAATTAGGCTTCTATTATTGAGGTATCAATAAATACTCAATTACCGAAACATGCCACGCAAGCAAAAGAAAGAAAAATCATTCACCAAAATTTCATTGTATTATTAACTTTCTTTTGTTTTAGCTGTGGCAGAAAAATGTCTCTTCCCCTGAGGAGAAATTTAACAAGGAGCATGCAATATTTTAAATGTGCGTCACCTAAGCTCAGAAAACACATCTAAAAACTTGTGATTAGAGACTTATTATTTAAACTGAGTTTTGAAAAAACGAGGTACGATCGAACGCAACTGAACAGGCTTGGACCGGATCACTGAACACGCAACTCATTGAACACAGTAAAGAGGAAAACGAAATGAACCTTATCATTGAGAGAGCAATTGAACTGGACATAGGACTCAGCGTCGAATTTTTCAGTCTTGAAGGGATTGAGACCTTCTTCAAGCTTAGGTCCGTTCTCCTTCGCACTCGCCACTGTGCTTCTCGACCGAGACGTCTTCGCCGTCGCCATATCCACAGATTCCAACTGAGACGAGATCAGCAGCTACCGAAGTTTAGGGTTCAAATTCAAACACTGAAAACGAAAAAGTAGATCGATCCACGCATGAATCAGAGAGGAAGCTCACTCAGCAGCACAGAAGAGAAAAAGAGAAGACTCCGTGTTCGTTTCCTTTCGTTTCAATTTCAATGTCAATCTCTGATCCCTAACAACGCGGTGATGGAAAGAGTTAAGACTTGCGCCAGAGAGAGAAGGGAGGAGAAGATTGCCAGCACACCACGCCTTGTTTTTCTTTTCTTCTCTAAAATTAAAAAAATAACTAATAAAAAAAATACTTTTTGCTCTAACTTCTTCAACTACTAATAACATGCTTATAGAAACGTACCTTCCTTTTTGTTTGTTTACCTGTAAATGATTCACCCTTTGCACCTAAAAGTGAATGTTTACAAAAATTAAAATAATATTAAATGAAACATGAGTGGAAGATTTTCATTCCTCTCTCTGAGATTTACCATTAAGAAAAAGATAGGGTAAAATTTCATATGGTTCTATTCCAAATCAATTTTTATTTAATGTTTTATGATATAATTACTTTGCATGTTTTTTTTTCGGGCTATTCGTTAATATTATGTTGCATTCATTTCATCATAAATACAATGTGTTTATTTTCTCTATAAATTTTATACCAAGAACTTTATTATAATTTTTAAAATTTTATGTATTGTTACCGTCCAAAAAGAATGTTACTCGCTGATAATTAGGTAGCGTTTGATGTATATGCTAAAATGAGATTGATTATATTATATATTTTATACATTTAAAAAAATGAAAAAAAATAAAATGTGAAGATGTAAGGATTGTCTATTTCCCATTAATTGGAAAAGGTTGAATTAAGAAAAATAAAATGATAAATTTATTTTTCTTTAATCGAGTTAACTGCTAAATAAAGAGTCACAAATGATAACGCAATTATAATGACTCTGTTTTCAGTTTAAATACATGTAGAGACAGACTACTCCTTCATGTTTAAAGTGCATCATTATCGAGACCTCAAGGTCAAAGGCAACATGTGGTTCATATATTAAGATATAACATCATTAACAAGTTATTATTTTGCTAGAATAGAGTTTTAATAGCATTGGGTGATTTTTTTATCTGAATTTGTTTAGATAATAAATATAATCCAATAGATCTTTTTATACTTTAACACATTTATTGTGTAAATTGCGGTGAAATTATTGTTTTATTTCTCCTTAGGGAGTACGAGGAATGAGTTAAATATCGTGTCAAAGTTAAACTTTAACATAGCTTATTATTTTGTATTTATCTCTTTTTTTAATATATATGGAGTAGGCCTCACTTTTTAGCAAAAAAATAAAATAAAAGATGGATAAAGCACATGCACGATATCTGAAAAATATAGCAAACAGCATAGCAGAATAATCAATATTAACCATTTCATCAGTGAAGAGAATGTGGCTGGCTATTTGAACAACTCTTTATATTACGTATATTTCCTTACCTTCTACGTCTCACAGGAACTCCGTGTTTCTCTTATTCGTTCAAATTAAAGGAAAAATCTTTGTTTCCTCCGTTGACAAACAACAAAATAATGACCTGATTTGTATTATTTTATAACTTGGTGGTCATCCTCTCATCTTTGAAGAAAAATTAGACTTAACTTTTAGTAATTTTAATAAGTTGAGTATATTTTATTAAAACTTTAGTGACAAGTGCTCTAATGATACTATTACTTTGGTGAAAAGTTAATAAATAAAATTTCATGAAAAATATGCAGAGTATCTTGTCAATTATGGCTAATGTAATTTTAAATAGAAAAACTATACAAAAGTTTAACTTAGAATGGTTGTAACACGTTTTGAGGACAAGTTTACACTTAGAATTCTTCTTGTCCTCTTATGAAGTTAAATGCTTATTGTCACGGAAGAAGTTAAGCAAGTGAAGCCATTCCTAGGTCTGCAAATTTCGCCATTGGATTGATTGATGTCACTTTCTTTCTGTTCTTAAAGAATTTATTTATTTCAGTCAGTACTCATTAGTACCATTTAGTCAGACCATAGCTAATCACAAACCATCAACCAGATGCATCATCGACACAGCTGGACATTCTAACCACTAAAATGACTATTTGCAAAAAGGTTAACAAGTGTATTGAGACATTCTAACCAACAAAAGGACTATTTGCATAGACGGTTAACCGGTGTATTGCGTTGCGTACAATGATATAATCCCACTTTCCTTCACAAGTTACATCATTGAAATTTCAGAGGTTAATTGGAACTCAGCAAAACAAAATGAACCATGGAGCATTTTGGCATCCGGTGTTTATGCACCTTCAAATATCATATCTTCAAATATCATAAAAAAATAAATGTTTATAACCTGACCTTCATGATTCTGCGGGTGGGGAGTGAATTGACACACTTCAATTTAGTCTAACCTACGACCCAATTTAACATAGCTGGACAGCTTTTTCATTTCAGAACCTGGAAGCAGATTAAGGTTACAAAGACACTTTTCATTAAGTTCAAACTTTTCAAACTTGTCATCCAAACTTGTCATCAAGTTCAAAATCATTTGTTTAAACTTTTATTGCTACAAGAATAACCATGCGAATCAAAATCCAGTGCATGTTCTATTTCATGGAAAGGAAAAAACAACAGAAGAAAAATAACTTCAATGCATTTATAGCTCCCATCGAATCACTGTCCTGAAGTGTCTGAGCGAATAGCTGAAAAAGAAAATTGAATATTTTTATCAGGATACACCAACATGATGTTAATAGAAAAAAAAAAAAACATTTGACAATGAATAACAGAAAAATGAAAATACATCAAAGCACCCTTCTAAAGGTATATTAAGCCATGTGTTTAGAACTCTTATTCAAAAGTTTGTTCAGCACTTAAAGTTCAAAAGTTTGTAAGTACGTTTAGAATGGGTATCCCACGACAATATTCTACTTCAGTATCCATCCCATAACCAATGGTCTTACTCTCAATTTTGATTTGTTGTTTTTATTTTCTAAAAACAAGTTTTTCCAATTTAATTTTGCTGAGATTTAGAAGATTGTGTAAGATTTACATCTTATTTTCATTTATAATTTCCTGTTTGGCTCATAAGGGTTCACTCTCATGCTACTCGTGAGAAAACAGAAAATAAAGCTTGAAAATAAAACTTTATCTTCTGTTTTCTTCGACCATGAAAACAAGTGGTAAGCATTCTCCATTAATCCTTACTAAAGGTGTTAGGCTAACAAATCTTGTTCCGACAAAAGAGGAACATGCAGTTATGGATCGAGCGACATACATAAATGGAATAAAACAAAACTGACAAGGTTATGGAGCAAGCTTATATCATCAATTAATGAAAAAAAAAAATGAGCATTAAGGGGAAGGATCTGGCGACAGTTAACTCGCACAATATAGGAATTGATCCTCCAACGACATGGTCAGGAACAAGATAGATGAACATAAAAATCAAAATTTGCAATGGAACATATTAGGGTTATTGATTTGGGCGATCGAGGACATAAATTCTCCAACAATAATCATAATTTTTTCATCTGAAAATAAAATTAAATCCAATATTGATGAAACTAAATAAAATAAACTATGAGAATGGAGAAGAGGAGAGGGTAATACTAGGTTTTTCAGGCTTGCCATCGACCCATTTGGAGAGAGCGAAATGGACCTTCTCACGAGACAGGGCTTCAGCCTTGTAGGGTTCCTTGAGGCAATTTCTGACCAGATTGGCGCATATGTTAGAGTAGGTGATGTAGGTCATACCCGCTGCTCTCCAAAACGGCACCGCTCCGCTCGACGCCATCTTCACACTTTTTTTCTTCTTTCCCAACACTCACACCTTCCTCTTCAAAACGCTTCCCTTTCTTCCTTACCGATACCAATGCATCACACTAATCAGACACAATATGATTTGTGCACTATGGGCTATCTGTAAGCCCAACCAAACAAAGTCAAGCCCGGCCCACTTCTACTTTACTATTCTTAGTCCGAAATTTTGGTTGTCCTGCTTTCAAATAAAGACATTTATCTCTATAAATATTAAAGGAAACTTTTTCTAACCTTCTTAATTTGAATAACTAAAACTTCATTAATAAAAAAATTAAATAATTTATATTTATATTTAAAATATTTAATGGTAGATGTAATAAAAAAATATTGATTTGCAGAAATATAAAATATTTTTAAATTATTTTATGCAAATATTTATATATATAAAAAAAATTAACTTCATATATATATATATATATATATATATATATATATATATATATATATATATATATATATATTTAAGAACTACATGTCCTCAAATATAAAAGAAAAATTACTGAAACCATCGAAGTAAAATAGTTATAACAATATCAAGTCCTTCACACGAGTACATTTCTTAAAAAAAAACGAGTATATTATTATTTTTATTGAATTTCTATAACAATAGTTGATTATTAAATATGTCGAATTCTTTATAGTAATAGATATGCCGCGGATTCTTTGTAACAGTTTGACCAAATAAAAAAGTTTAATTAAAAATCAAATATTTTTATATTAAATATTTATATTTTTAGAACTGCATCTCTTGCGATCCTTGTAAAACAATTACAAAATTTTAATATGTCCTATATTTTTAAACAATATTTTTTTAAGTAAAAATTTATTAATCATCCTCTTTAGTTTTAATCAGTTTTACTACTGAATATTTTAAAAAACTAACAATATTATTTAATATGCATATCTTTTAAAAACTAACTATAAATAAAAATTAATAATTTAAAATTTAGTTTAAAATGTATTTGAGACATCTGTAAAAATTTATTTTTTGTAATAATCTTTATACGTATTACGTACAATCTATATAATTGTTAGTGACAAATCGAGAAAAGCGATCGAAATCGAAGGGAAGAAATATGACTCGATAAGATAAACAAAAATTTATTCGATGTCTAATTAGAAATACGTAACATATAGCATCGAGAAACACAATCGAGAATCGAATGAATTATAATCAAATGACTGTTGTCGAATAAAAACTAAGTCATATAAGACCAGGGTTAGAAAGGAATCGTAAGCAATTTGAAGTTCTCGAAAAATACAGAATCGAAAGTAAAGAAAGCCAATGTGGACATCGAGACTTTGGCCAAATTGTGAAAGGAAGTAAGTCGAATGCACGTATAAAGAGCAGTTTTGAAATCATGGGAAAAAGTCGGAGATCGTGAGAACGTGGGAAACTATAGAAGATAAACTGTCATACGCACGTAGAACGTGGTAGCAGTCGCGTTAACTGCTCTCGGAAGGCTTGAAGGATGCCCTATAAATAGAGCAAAGGAGGGAGGAGAAGGGGGAGCAAAAATTGGCAGAGAACAGAATCAGTAGTGAAAAGTCTACCGGAGAAACGACGAACACCATGAAGCTTCTGGCAATCTGGATTTCCTTGCTCACTGAGTACATTTACCGCTTTCTGTATTTTCCTTGGTAATTTACTTTGACACAACTTAAATTCAGCAGTCTTATGTTTCTGTATTTTAGATTCCTTGTCCATTTCAATTCAATGCAAATTTAAGTTTATGCATTTAGGTTTCCATGATTTAACATTCTTGCAATCTCGATTTCCTGTCATTTACTTTTCTTGCAATTTCGATTTCTTGTCATTTATATTTGCTGTTTTCGATTCCTTGCTATTTACAATTCATGCAAATTTGGGGTTTTCGCACTTTACATTTCCTCGCAATTTAACATTTTGTTTTTCGATTCGATAGTCTTAATCCTTTCGATACTTTAAATACAAAACACCAAAAATAGCATTTTCGATATCCTGTAGTTTTCGATTCTCACACACGTTTTCGATTGAAAATCAAATTGCTAGCCTAAATAAAAAGAACTTACGTGGTAGAATTTTGATTAGGACCAAAACACCCTTAGAATCGAGATCGATCGAAATTCCACCAGAAACAAATTGGAGCGCCAGGTAGGGGGGGTCTTGTGTTGAGAAATACAAAAATTGGTTAGTTCGAGAGTGTATGAGATTAAGGAGTGGGAGAATCATGAGTCAGAGTTCATCAAATAACCAAGGTAACAGTGAGGGATTAAATGGATCACACCCACCAAATACTGGGGGGCAAAGTCATAATGGGAACATACCTGTAGTATCGACAACTGTGAGCATGTCGATACCTGTGAGTAGTGAACAAAATTCAGGTACATTAGCAAACACCCAAGCAGGATCTAGTACGGTGATACCAAATAATATGCAAACTATGGGAAATCCCACAACCGCATATGTAGGGCCACGTATGAGCGTAAGACCGCCTGGGTTTCCACTTAATAATGTGAGTGGGGCTGGAACCTCTTCAACGCATAGGAATTCGAGATATAACGTAGGAATGTCCCAAACACTAGGTATGCCACAAAATTTTGGAATCCCTCCGAATTTAGGGACGTCTCAAAACTTAGTAATTCCACAGGATCCAGGGAATGGACAGAATGTAGGCACACAACAGATACCTCCAAATCTAGATCAGAGGGGATACTTAGATCATGGGAGACATGTATTCGATAGAGACTATCATTGATCTAATTTTGATTCTATCGAAAATATGGGTACCGGAATATCTAGTAATTCATTAGGGGTACTTAGACAACAAATGGATGAGTAATTTTGAAATGGTGAATATGTTATCACAACAATTGACTACAGTCTTAAATCCATTAGTGCAAAACACTACTGCTAGCTTTGAGATATTAGCAGACCAAATGTCACGAATCGGGGATGCATTGGTTGTGCCTCGACAAACGAGGATAGAAAATCAGGCTAATCAGAATACTAATATTAATCCCCCATATCTATTGAGAAGAAATAGAAATAATGATCAACAGCAGTGTATGGGAAATGAGTATCAACATATGAGGAATGATATTTATGGGAATTTGAACGAAGGATTTCAAAATATACACAATCGGAATAATATGTTGGGACAAAGGATGAATTTACAAGGGATGGAATTTAGACCACCCAATCAGACATATTTTGTGTCTCCCTTTCCAAATGCAATTCTCGAGACAGAATTGCCTCGAGGATATAAAGTACCCAAATTCACTAAGTTTGCTGGAGAAGTTGGTGAATCGACTATCGAGCATGTGGCTCGATATCAGATCGAATGCGGGGATTTAGCGATGAGTGAAGAATTAAAAATGAAATATTTTCCTAGTTCTTTGACTAAGAGTGCTTTTACTTGGTTCACGTCATTGCCACCCAATTCGATATATAATTGGCTGCAACTGGAAAGAAATTTTCATGAGCAATTCTTTAGAGGAGAAACTCAAGTGAGTCTCATCGACTTGATGAATATAAAAAGATACAATCATGAAAGCATAGACGATTATTTGAATCGATTTAGACAAATGAAATCGAGATGTTTCACTCAAATTCCTGAATATGAATTAGTCAGAATGGCCTCTGCAGGTTTAGAATTCTCGATTAGGAAAAAACTAGTCAATTTACCATTGAATGACATGGCTCAATTAGCTGATAAAGTGAGAAGAGTGGAACAAATAGAGTATGAGAAACAAAGGTATAAGAAATATGAGAAACCTTTGAAAAAGGAAAGAATAGCATACATAAATGATGTATACGAGACAGATAATATGACGAGAAAATGATATTGAAGAAAGCGTCGATGAGAAAGTAAACTTAGCGAGAACTCAAAGTAGGGGCTCCATATACACGTAAATTGCTACAAAAGAATGAAGTAAAAGATAAAATGGCAAATCGAACATATACTTTTGATGTAACAAAAGCGGACAAAATCTTTGATATTTTATTGAAAGACAAACAGATTAAGTTGAGTGATGATCATAAGCTGCCGTCTGCGAGAACAAAGGAATGATCGAAAATATTGCAAATTTCATAATGTGTATGGACATTGGACTAACAATTGTATACATTTCAGGAACACCATCCAAGATGCGATTGACCAAGGAAGGTTGAAGTTCGAAGAAATGACAATGAAAGTTGACACGAGTCCTTTCGAGGCCCAAGTTGGATACCTCGAATCCCAAACAGGCATTACTGATGATGTCCGATTAACAAATTCGGCCTTTATAGGCATGGTAGACGTCACTGAAGACATCGATCCTAAGCACGTTAGAATGGACGTGTCTGAAGATATGGAATTTGACCTGAGTGAATTCGAGAGAGAGTTCGAAAAGGAAATATACCCTCGATCAGGAGATTCTCTCATTGAATTTTTGAATAGGAAAAAGGAGAAAGACGAAGATGTGTCATTATGCCCACGTTGTAATGCAGTTTTCGATAAATCGAGCTACCAAAGCTTTCGAACGGAACGAGATGAAGAAGATCGAGAACCAAAATAAAAGGAAAAATGACAAAGTAGATCAAACAGATCCAGACCAACGATCGAAGAAAGTCGGTGAAATCCGTTGGCTCTGGTGTTAGTGAAAATCGGAGGCGGTGGATTAGAAGAGAGATGTATCCTTCTCGAGGAGGAAGAGGTAGACTTCAAAGTAATGATGTTTTCGAAAGACTCTCTTATGATGATGGATCGACCACTAGATTCCCAACATTCCAAAGAAGATTCGAGGAAGGCCATGGAGAAGAGGAGGAAGGATCCCCTATTGGAATCATTACGAAACTTTGGAGAAAATGGTGCACCGATAGAAAATCATTATGCAAGAGAATTTTTCGATGACAAGAACGATGATACTTGGGACGAACATCAAATCGGGGTAATATCAATTTTACCTGCGGAATATGTGAGCGAATACAAAGAATACCAAGAAAAAAGAGAT